GCTACATAATTATGGACGTAATTATGGGTGAATTTATGTTAATTAATTTCCGCTTGTTTACATTTAAGTTTAATGTGCTGTATTTAAATAAAATGCTGCTAACTTGCCGGGAATATCTCTCGTTGTTGATAACTGCGTAATAACATAAGAGAATTAACTTTGAACTTTGGATACCGTCGCCGCCTACTAGGTGCGCTCGTCCTCTGGCTTCTAACGAGGCGCTCCTAGTGGAAGATGATGGAACTCGCCTGAGTGCTGATGCAATGAATTACTTTTAACTTGCAAACGATGAGAAGTGCCGTTGATAAGTCGCCGACGCAATCTTACTCTAGTTCTGAGGCGAGCCATGGAAAACTGAGGTATTGGCAAGCGTGAACGGAGGTCGCACACTGCCGACGTGGCCTGGTGAACGACGACGAGTCGCGGCGCCACCGAATCGCGGAATCGAAGACCTTCAACGGGCTGAAATCGCTGCACCACCTATACCACACAGACACCCAAATCTGTTGGGTCAAGTTCATGCAAACTTTCAAAACGATGAAGCGCTGTTCTAACGCTTTCATGCTTCCACACATTGCCCTCTTCTGCGGTTCACACAATTGTACCTCCATAGCAGAACTCGTGATAGAGGGATGAGGACGGTGGAACTCATTCGATTTTCAATTTGTCTTTCGGGAAACTGATCCATATTACAGGCAGAAAGAGAGTCGCTAAAGTTTTCTTCAACATTTAAATCTAAATCATATCGCAATTTACTGCAGGCAAACACTCATGAACGAAAGAGAGCGCTTATGAACGAATATTCTCCAATGGTCTAATCCTGGAGTTTGTCTAATAGAGCAAACAACAACAAATGAATGGAATCGTGCAAGACGAAGAACAACGGAGTGTATTTTTCACAACCATCGTGGTAGCCCTGAATAATGGCAGATCTCCGCATGATCCTATGCTAGGTTTGTTCTGAAAAAATATATTCCCAATAACTTCATGGTCCATATCCAGGCATGGACTAGAAAAGTTGAAGATCAGAAATAGTTAGAGAGTTTATTTCAGAGATCGTTGTTCTAACGAAATATCAAGAACTATGATTGAACGGTGTAAATCAGAGTTAGTGTCGACTCTAAATAGGGGTCATATTTCACGGTCATATATAAGGAATGACTCTGTTCCTTTCGCAAACATCTACTTTAAGCAGGAGTGAAAATTAAAAGAAGGATTGTGCCTCATTCTAACAGTTTGGTCTAACTAACATTCTCTCTTAACCAAAACATGAAAGATGCCCATCCAGAGGCCGGTGTGTAACTTGCATGAACAGGATAAATGTTGGTATTTGTCTAGTAAACAAGTAGAACAGTTTCACGACGACATCGTGACCCCTGCCTTACAGCAAAGCGTTGACAGGTTGATAGATCGGCAGACATCGCAAACTCAAGACCATTGAACGAGCTGATTCAAGCGGTTCAAGGAAGTAGCAACAAAAGCAACAATCACAGATTAAACACCTGAAATATAGCTTATTAACACAACTTAATGCAAACAAATTTTCGGGATGTTACGCTGAACACCGACTTTTCGGTCTGTCCTCAGAGATGCCCGTCGAAGCACATATTTATCTAAGATTTTCGGCTTTAAATCGCTTTCGTTCAGAGATGCGATCGAACGGTAAACCGCTTATAATTCGCCGGCGGAAGACCCTGGGGATGGCCAAGATTAACCTCGGGCAATTGCACCGAAGAACTCTGCCCTAAACTTCGGTTGTCTTCTGTCAAGGATCAAACGATGGCACAGGATCGAGAATATTTGAAGTACTGTTTGACGCGTCTGCTTCCGCGAC